AAAATTCAAAGTCTATAGTTTCGTACAAATTAGGAACTCAAATTACTGAAATTAACAAGCTAGAATATAAAATAAAAACCTCCTATCCTTTCTATTTGCTGAGATATCGCTCATGTACAGAATCAAACACAGTGGCCCCGCTCACCTCTTTCCATTTTTGGAAATGCTCCCTTATATACACTCTTCTGTGTTTGACATGTGAATAACCAATCAAAAGCTCAGATTGTCCTCTAGTGTCTTTCTCAGTCATTTTCAAGCATTACGTTCTTTTGAGACAACTCTTCAAACTGGTAAAGTGAGTCTTTAGTCTGCTTGAAATTTCATATTTGTAATTTGTAAGACTGAATTTAATATTCTAGTTTCCAAACTTTCTCAGCAAAAGGATTCCCAAAACATTACGCATCCCGATTGAGGTCCTCCATACCTTAACAGTATTGTATATTTTGCATATATGCTACAGCTTCCCTGTGGCTCCCTGGCCCCCAATTTGGGAGCCCATGCTCTTGTTGAAGACATTATTTTATCATATTTATGATCTGTATATGAGGTTGCACTTTACCAAACGTACATGGACACAAACATATTCTAAAAATTGCAAACACAAAGTTTCTTTCCCTTGATATTTTACTTAGGGAAGCTTGCAGAAGCTATGCCTGATACTGACAAAAAAAAAGAAATGTTGCATAATTTTTTTATCATATTTATGATCTGTATATGAGGTTGCCATCTGGTTTGAATTGTATATTGTATTTGTTTGGGTACTATCTGTTCTGCAGCTTTAGTAAGGCACTGTTTGACAGTAGTCATCAACATCAGATGAATTTCCTGTTATATTTATTGTAGATTCAGGCAATAATATATCTAGGAAGTTTTTATATTGTTCCCAGTTTGGTTTACTGTAATTATAATTTTGTTTTCTTATTGGTTTATTATAATGGGGTTTGAGATCGAAGACACATGTAACTGGAAAGTGATCACTATCTAGATCAAACTAATGTTAAAACTATAACACTTATTACTGATATTTGATGAAGTAATATATAAATCCAGTATATCAGGGGTGAGATCATTTAACAAAACACAGGCACTGTTATCCAAAAAAATCTAACAATCTTCTTACATTTATTGTAGTTTTATGACATGTTTATGTTTAATGTTAAGGTCACCTGCCTGTCTGTGTTACAGATAGGGCTGTTATATATATATATATATATATATTATAGCAATGTTCCTGTCTGGGTTATTTCCCTCCAATTTATCTTTTTCTAATCATTGTATATCCAATAAATTTTATACTATTATCTTTGTTTAACATAGTTTCTGAAACAATCAAGGCATTGGTATTTATATAAGTTAATATGTCCTCGATCTCGTGTCTCTTGGTAGCAAGTCCACCTTGGATATTGACGTGTTGTACTAGGAATGTTTATGTGAAAAACGAGCCCACTCACTGTTGTAAAATGTATGGTATGAGAGGAGTGATATGCTTTTTTGCTACTGTTATGAGTGTAGTAATGCTGTCTTGATTGTTTTGTGAAATTTGAAATTCTTTAATTAAATTGCAGATTATATTTTTAACGGCTTCCATAATTTGGTTATTTTCACCATTTGCAGTTTGTGTTTTGACTTGCAGAAATTGTGTTTGAGTTTAGACTTGATTGTTTATATTTTATGGTTTGTTGTTGTATATTGATTTGATCCATGTTTTCATTTCTTTTAGTATTTTTGTTCGTTTGCAATTTTATATTTTGTGTCGGTTTACCATGTGATCTGTTTTTGACTACTGTTGCATATATTGGTGCTTGTATTGAAGTCTTTTGTTTATTTGGTGTTGGTAGTAAGGGTAATTTAATTTGAGTTTGGTGTGCTTGATTTGTCTCCATATTCTGTGATGTAGTTGGTGTTATTCCATTGGTTATTGCGAATATTTTTATTTCTTTGGATTTTAAGCAGCCTTTATAATTTACAGTATGCTGCTGTTTACAACTTTATGGTTTCTCATTTTGGAAATTATGAGTTGTGATGATCTCCTTCATATCCTACGCAACATGGTATAGATTTATAGGTGGCAGTCACATGGCAGTAGCAATTAAAGCATGCACAACTACCACAGCTGATGTTTTGGTTTGCTCAACCTGAAGCCTCTGATTCCAGAGCCTAATACCATTAGATATCAAGCTTTGAATATCCTAGGTGTTTTCAGTGTAAACTTTGATAATGTTTGTTGGTTTCTGTACATGTCCTGAAACAATTCTTTCAACTTTAATGTAGTTTATGATGACTTGTGTAGGTTCTTCTTTTATATCTTTTATGTTCATATTATAGTGAATTCCTCTGATTACTAATGATTTTGTAAACAAGTTCATTCCAGGGAGATGTATACATATTTTACCTGGCCTGAATGCATTTTCAGGCCATTTTTTGAGTAGACTATTAAAGTCTGCCATCTCTGAACCTTTTCCTTAATGCAGCTCTTAGCTAGACATTTAATATTAGTTATATTTATGTGTAGTTTGCAGCATTTAATTTCTTTAGTTAGTTTCAGTTCTTTATAAGAGCCAGGAACTCCTTCAATGATAATAGCATTTTTGGGTGTTTCCCTGCATGTTTTAAAGTTTGTTTGTTGTGTTCATGTAGTTTGAAGGTTTACACTGTCTTTTAATTTTAGATGATACAAGCATAAAGCCATTGTTATCTGTACTTGTTTCTGTTTGTTTTGTAATATCCAAGGTGGGAATTACATTGTTTTCATTTACTGTAACATTTTCATTAGAGTTACTATTACTAAAATGCAGAGAATAAAGATATTGCCGCTGTTTGAGTTTCACACTCTTTTCTGATTCACAGCATTTAATTTCCAGTTAATATTAGGGTTAAAATAAGCACTTATGCCTACATTAGAGAAGTATTTCATAATTGAAATATATTTTAGAATATTTCTTACATCTTGATGTAGAATATAGTTTTCTGTAGAAGCAAAATTCAAGATTATCATTAAATTTCATGCATTAACTGTACCAACTTCATACAGTAGAAATTCTGACCATATCTCTATTGTGAAATGGGCTGCTTTGAACAAGAAGTGATGCAACTGCTTTGCCAATTCTGCCAAGTTTCTAGACTTGATTGCTACACAGCCTCACTTTTGATCCACTTCCCCTGTCTTACAACAGTTTTCTTGGAGAATGAATGATAATGAAAATCCTCACATAGATTTTGCTCATTTTTAGCAAACTTGTGCATGTTTTCTGTGTTTTCAAGAGAAAAAAAAAGAACATAGAAGTGCAGCTAAAATAACCTGCAAAAAGTTTAAGGTAAGACACTTAATGTGCATTACAAGAGCTTAAAAAAAAGCACATTATTGACTGGGAGATTACTTTTACTTGTAGACTTTCACCAGGTCTGTTGGGCTCTCACCAAGGCCAGAACTGGAAATGCAAAAATGTAAAAGATAAGTTCAAATAAACAGGATTGAAGATTTTTACCTTCTGGATGAACTCCATTTGTTTTCTGTAAATTATCTTGGACCAGATTTTTTATATTATCACAATTATCTATGTAGTCTTCATCTATAAAGTCAACATCAGGTTCTGAAGACTGGAAGGCTCTTTGAATCGTGTTCACCTTTGTTAGACCTCCAGATGGACCAGTGAAGGCTGCTAGAACCCTGTCAGACAGCTTACTGATTTCTTTAACTGGCAAGTCATAGCAGGATTTTCCAAAGAAAATTTCTGGTTGTTGTTTTCTTGACTCTCTGAAAGTGTTAAAAAAATCATCTTATTTTTTTAAATTTCCACTGTTAATAATGACTATAAAATGAGAATAAACACAGGTTGTAAAGCTAATAAATACCTGTCATTAGCTTAACAACCTGTGTTAGCTAGTTAACAACTACAGCTAGATGGTTTTAAAACTACTGTACTCTTAGTTTCTAAAAGAGAACTAAAACAAAAGAAAGTTATTCTTTGTCTGAGTCCTTTTGGAAAATTATTTATAAGAATTCTAACATTTTGATTTAGTAAAAATGTGAGTTTTGTGAAGGAGAAAAATATCTGTACTAGCAGTTTTACAGTTTGTAACCACTTTAGGTACATGTTACCCAATCAGTGGTCTGCAGATCTCTAGAAGTCCAGACTGAGTTTCAATGTTATAGTTTAAAAAATATACACAAACTATGTTTGATTAAATGAAAATAATGTTTGAATTCAAAATTTCATTATCTTATTATTTTCCTGCCTAACATGTATGATCACAATCATTTAAACTGCAGATTTCTGCCCCCATGACCCTCTCAACTTTGATGCACAGATGCAAATAATATCTTTGTTCTTGTCTTCAGTGTTCTTCCTAGGTTCCACAGCTTATGGGACCATAGTAACCTTGTTTCAGAATTCAGAGGAACATGGGAAAAAATTTATGTGGTTTAGTTTATTTTTATCAGAAATTTTAGGTCTACTAATTTCTAATGCTTTTCAAGGTGTTAAATATTCATCCAAATACATACTACTAATGTGTTCTAGTGAAATATTAATACAGATTTTGTGAATTTCCAGTAGCAAGCATGCATAGGCAAGTACATTAGACAAATGAGACAGATAACATAACATAATGTTTTAGGACAACATGGGACCTACTGGTCCATCTTGGCTGTTCCATCCTCTAAACTAAATTAAAATAATTAAAAAAAAATCTTAAAGTCAGCACTTATCATTCATGTACTTGTCAAGCTTTTTCTTAAACTCACTTAAATTTACTGCCTCTACAACATCTGAAGGCAACCCATTTCAAAGGCCAACCATCCTGTTAGAAAAATGAAACTGTCTTAGGTGAAGATAACTCCTACCTTGCCAAAATTTAAATTTGTGTCCCCTAGTCCTAATATTCTCACTGTTAAGTATGAAAAAAGATGAGACATTAACACTATCTTTACAATCTTAAACACCTCAGTCAGATCCCCCCAAACTCTTCTTTTTTCAAGAGAAAACAATTTGAGAGATTTTAGCT